CCTGCGAACCAAGTCTAAAAACTTAAAACCCAGGAGGCTATGGGTAGGGCTCTGTAAACCCCAGGAGGAACGAAGGCACAGATGAGGGTCTCCAAGTGCCTCTGGGATGAGGGTGTGGAAGCAGTGGGAAAGTGGAGACCTGCCTAGAGGTGGAAGAGCGTGAAGCAGTTGCCCTCTTCCCCTGGATACTGGGGCTCAGCTCTGATGCTGGGAATGGTCACCAGTCTGAGGGTTGAAGACCCTGGGCTGAGTACCCCAGGATGCCAGGCCTGGGGTGGGAGGACTCCAGTGGAAGTCATGAAACAAGTGTGGGTCCCATTGCCCGGCGTTGCTTGGTTAGTGAGAGGGCATGAGCTCGGGGACCTTTGCTGCCCAGGTCTGCGTCTGCCCCAGGTGAGACCCACAGACAAACAGGGGGCCCGGGCTGCCAGCTGTGCCTCTGGATCTGGGGTCTGGGGGTGGGTAGGAGGACCCTCGGAGGGAGATTTCTCTTTACCCACCCTAGTTGCTTCTCCAGAGAGGGAAGCAGAGAAAGGTTGCTGTGGCTGACCTACACTTTCCCTTGGGCAGACCACATAATGAGGGAGAGCAGGGAAACTGTTGCCGGCGGGGGGGGGGGGGCTGGCGGGCTGGCAAGGCTGGGGACAGGTGCGCAGCCTCTCTGAGGAACCCCAGTTCTGGTGGGATGGCCTGACCACAGAGGAGTCAACTCAGCGACGCAGTTGGGGAGAGGCAGGTATGTGGGATTTCCTCCAGGAGTTTGTGAAAATGCACATTCCTGAGTCCCACCTCAGACACACTGAATCAGAATTTTTTGAGTGGAACTGTCCACTTGGATCAAGTTGTCTAGGTGGAAACCCTGGCCCATGATTTGTTTGGGACTCTCTCAGGATGCATCCTCTTCCAAGCTGCACCTGCCTGGAGAGCTTTGCAGAAGAAGGTCAAGTTACTTCTCCCCTGGACACCTCAGAAGGGCTCTTGTGGAAATAAAGCCTGGGTCTCAGGGACAGACTCAGATGCAGGGGGGTGGAGAGGAAGGTGGGTGGGCATGCAGGTAAGAAGAGCGCAGGTCTGGGTTACAAGGCAGTGGGTTTGCTGCTCGTCCCATTCCTCTGCAGGACCTCTCTCAGCTCTGAGAAGGAGTCTGAAGTGAGATACGGCACCTGGTCTCAGCATGGCCACCCATGTGTCTAAAGCTGTGTGCTTTAGACGATTCCTTTTTTCAGAATGGGTCTGTCTTCTCACCTGGGAAAAGGAAACTGGACCAAGTCAGTGTTGAGCCAACTTGGCAGAACACTGTATACATCCGAGCGCTTGACAACTTAGCTGTGCTGGGACTCTTAACTCAGACCAATAAAGTCATAATCTCTGGGCACGGGACCTGGACATGAGGGTCTTTGGTTCCCAGCTGCTGAAAGATGGTCCTTTTGAGCTAGAGCCTCTGATCCCCACCAGCTAGACAACAGGATGGGGAGAAGAGCTTGGCTTCTTTTTACTACTGCTCACTTCTTTCTCCAGCTTACTTCAAGGAGAAATCCCTGGCTGGAAATGTTATAAGGATTTTGGCAATGCTTTGAGGGACGAATGAATCGAATTTGGAATCAGGGATTCGGGCTAACACTACAGGAATGCCAACACTTTCCCAAGATGCTACATGTCAGAGGCCTGAACCATGGTATGCCATATGATCGCTACAGTGAGGGGGGTGGGGGAGGAGACACGAAGAGCCCCACCTTCGGGGATGGCCCTGAATTCTTTATCTCCAAGTCGGAAGAAAACACAGTTTCCCATTAACAACAATTTTTAAAAGGTAAAGGGCAGAAATATTTGGGAGCTTAAGGCAGGTGGGTTTGTAACTAAAAGGAGAATCCCACGGAGAGATAATTTTCCAGCTTAACTCTCAGCTTTATGAAACCAGCTTATCTCCAGCTCCTGATATCTGTATATAAGTAGACCATTACTAAGGACATAATGCAATCAGTTGAGCAAACCAATCCTATCTAATTTACTTTTCTAAGTCTTAACTATTTTGCAGTAAGTTCATTCAACAAAGTGTTGATCACCTTTAGTTATTTATTTATGGGGCCTGAATCGAAATGAAGAAAATATGATACAATGGAAAAAGGACGGAGACTTTAGACTCTGAAACATCTGTGTTTAAATCTTGGCTTTGCCCCTAACGAGAGGCATGAGCTTGGAGAAGTTTATGTAAGTCTTCCCTGTCCCGATTACTTCGTTTGTGACACGGAGGTGACAGTGTGGACTTGCCTAGTTCACAGACATGTTGGGAAGAGTACACGTACATCTAATATGGTCACTGACACATAACAGGCATTGAAAACACAGCAGTGCTAATGAAAATATTGCTATGTTCCCAACATGAGTACAAGGAAGTTTCATATGTTATCTCATCGACTTCTCAACAATGCAGTGAGGAAAACAGTCCTTTCACAGTTGAAACTGAGGTGCTAGCGCTGGGACTTGCGCTTATAGGTCATGCGACTCCAAATCTCATGCTGTTGCGTTCTCATGATCAGGGACGGACAAAGCCATTTTAAGTGCCAGGTCAGTGAGTTCCAGCGATGGCTGTCTCTGTCATTTGGGGAGGTCAGATTAGGAAACACAAAGGTTAGAATATCTCTTAGGGGATGACTGGGGACCTCAAGCCACAGAAGTGCATGGTGTATACATCATGTCAACTAACAGTGACAAGTTCTGGACAACTCTGCATGTCACCATATTTAAAGCAAGTTCACAATACAATCTGTTCCACTGAGGACTTCTGGCTAGGGCACCGGTGCATGTGTGTGTGTGTGTGTGTGTGTGTGTGTGTGTATCTATCTATAGATACACACACACACACATATGGCGCCAGGGTGGCTCAGTTGATTAAGCAACCAGCTCTTGATTTTGACTCAGGTCACAATCTCAGGGTCCTGGGATTGGGCCCTGACTCAGGCTCCGTGCTCAGGGTGGAGTTTGCTTATCCCTCTCCCTCTGCCCCTCCCCTGTCTCTAAAATAAATAAATAAATAAAATCTTAAAAAAAAAGAGAGAGAGAGAATAATCACCTCCACAGAAAACTTTACAACACATCAAATTTTATTAAGAACATTTACAGCACTCAGAAACAGAACAGGTGACTGCAGGCATGAGGACATGGCCTACACCCAACATTCACTTATTCTTAATTTGCTACTTATTTTTATTTTTGCTTATTTTTTATTATTAATATTTACATTTAAACAACCAGGGGGCAATACCTGCCCTTGTAGCATCGACTTCCACTTTAATAATTCCGAATACACAAAATGGTCATATATGAGCAGGAATGCTGGTGAGAACCAGTCAAAGAAATTCTGCCCCATCAGGAGCTCCCTACTTAGACACGGCCCGGTCCAAGGCTAGCTGTGGAAGGATGTAGAGAAAGGGTATTATTTTTTTAAATCTCAAAAATGATAAAAAGAATATTAACAAAAAATTATAAAGGGCCCAGGTAAATCAATTCATCAAGAAGAAGAAGAAGAAGAAGAAGAAGCTAGGATCCCAGTTGAAAATGGGCGAAAGGCATACACATAAAATTTATATGCAAATAGCTTTTTAATAAACAGAAAACTCTTTAATCTCACTAGCAATCAAATATATCAAAAATAGTACCACATTAAAGTCAGGTACTATTTTTTGCCCATAAAATTAGCAAAAGATTTCTCATTTTTAATGGCTATACCAAACACTGATGAGCTCATGGTGGGCCAGGTGATGTAAATTAGTACAGACCTTTAGAAAAGCAATTTGGCAGCATGATATCAAAAGCCTCGAAAAAAGCTGATATTTTTGGCTAATTCCACGCCTAGGAATCTATTCTAGGGAAATCATCTGCAGTTCGGGCAGAAAAATGCTAAGAAAAAAAAAAAAATAACGAAACCCATCTAAATGGCCCACACTAGGGAAATGGCAAAGTAAAGTGTTTTATGTTTGCATAATAAATTATTCAGGCATTAAAAATAGTTTTATGAAAAAAAGTTTTGTGAAGATTTTGAGATAAACTGGGGAAATTCCTATATTGTTAAACAAAAAAAGAAGTGTATAAGGATGAGTTCAACTATCAAACCATTAGGAAAAGTTGGGAAGGAACTGTAGGCAACTGTTACATTAGTCATCTCTGAGTGATGGGACTATGGATGACTACTTTTCCTTCTTCCTGCTTTATTTTGCCTTTCCCAATTTTTTCCATTACCAATATGTATTTTCATGAATATATATATGAATTTAGGACATACACTTGGACTTTGGGGCTGAGAACAAACTTTGTCCAATGACCCTGAATTTATCCGTGTCTTCCGAGTATTCACATCTGCAGCGTCACCAAATATATTCAAGACTAGAAAAAAAAAACACCTCAAAGTCAAACGAGGTGAATGCCAAGAGAGGCCAAGGAGAAAAATAACCAGAGATCAATAGGCAAAAGAATGAGAGCAAAAAACAAACACACAAACAAAAACTCTCCTGGAACTTTTCCAGTCGGTTCCATCCTTTTGCGCTCAGCAGGAAACGGGCGGGGTCCAGCTGACCTCGGACAATAGGGCAGATCTGAGGTAACCCTCCTCCCGCCGCACGTGGGATGGGCCAGCAGGGCCCTGTGAAGCTCCAGATTTAGAACCCAGGGGCGGTGTGGTGTGGCTGTGTTCTTGGCAAGTCCTGATCTTTCTCCAAGCTCTTTGCACATCTCCAGGGGACCGAGCCACACTCAGGTGTGTAGACAAAAGGTTAAAGACAGACTCATGACTGCCTTGTGGCTGGATCTCTAGAAATCTAAGTCATCTTGGCCAAAGCCATCTGTTCTGTCCGTGGTGAGGTTTTTAAACCTCCTTTCTGGGAAAGCAGGAGTTTTAACTACCTTCTCAGCTTCTAGGCCAGAGGCCTCGCCTGCCTCCTGCTCTGGAATCCTTGGCCCCGAGGGGGCCTCTTCTTGCTCAGAAGTGGAGCTTTCTGGGTACATACCTGTGGCTTTTCTCTCTGGACCAGGGAGTCCCTTGGACTCCTCTTCGAAGCTCCTCATGTCTCCATTCAAAGGCTTTTCTACAGAGCCTTTCTGAGAGAGCTGAGAGCAGTTTCCCAGAGATGATGTGCCGGAGGAGGCGAGACCTGCTTTCCAGCCTGACCGCTGGCAGGGGCTGTCTCCACCTGGGGTAGGGGGCAGTGCTGGCTTCCCCTCTTGATCTGGGCTTCTGTTTCCAAAAGTCTCACCCAGCTGGCCCTGTCCCCAGCCGACCTGCGGGCTACCTTCTTCCTCCCCTTGGTTTCCTCCCCCAGACTCTGGCTGCCCCTCTCCTTCAGCTTCCGAGGCCTCTGCCGTTTTGATGCCATCGTTCTGTCCTCCTGGACTTGGGTCACCTCCTCCAGAGGCCTCACCTTCCAAACCGGTGTCAGCCCCCGAGCCCTCCTCGGTGTTTTCTTCCTTCCCACCAGAGCCCTGCTCTTTCCCACCTGCTCCCTCTGGGACACTGCCTTGCCCGGCCCCTGTGCTCCCTTCTCTCTTCTGAACAGTTGCCTCCTCCTCTCCCCCTTGGGGGTCTCCGTCTCTGCCAAGGATCTGGCTGTTCTCACCCTCACCCCACCCCTCTGTCCCAGGGTCCTGGTCTAACCCCAGCTCCAGGCCTCCAGTGGACCCCTGGACAGTCCCTGTCCCCAAGGGGACCTCCTGAAGCGGCTCCATCCCTCTCTTCTCAGGGGCTGCCTCTGCCGTCTCCCCACTAGCACACCCCCCTTTCTTCTTCTGCAGAATGTGCTGCAGGTCGAAGGCCTTTTGGATGGGTGCCCTGGATGCCCCCGTTGTGTCCTTCGGGGATGTGGGGACCACTTTCTTCCTCATGCAGGCCTCACAGGGACAAAACTCCTCCCCCTCGGCCTCCCCAACCAGCCAGGTCCCCAGGGCTCCGCTGAGGGTTGGTGCATCCTCCTCCTCCACAGGGAAGGGGCCGGGCCCCTGGCTTCCAGCCTGCCTGGAGAAGGCCGAGAGGTACCTCAGGCCCTGGAGACGGCGCCTGCGCTGCTCCATCTGCAGGGACATCTCCCACCTGAGGCCTTCCCGGGCCGGCCCCGGCCTCTTCCCTGCTGCCTGGCTCCAGATCTCCTGGAGCTCTTTCTCGGTGCTATCTCGGAGCCGCAGGCCCAGGTCCTGCTGCAGCTCTGCCACCATCTGGTCCAGCAGGCTGTTGTTCTGCAGGCTCCAGCGGGCTCGGAGCTCCGCTGTGGCGCTGCCAAGGTGGGCCATGAAGGCTTTCTCCATCTTCCTCAGCAATCTGGACACCCAGAGGGGGTCAGTTTCCAGAGACACTCTGCGGGCCGGAGAAGAGCTCGTCTCCCCAGGCCCCTGGATGCACTTGGCCTGGGCTTGCGCATGGCGTGTCTCAGCGGCTTTGGGCAGCTTCTCCAAACCAGGCTCCATTTGGGGGCCACTGGCATTTGCATCCCTGTCACTGAGGCTCCTAGGAAGCTCTGTGGGTTTCTCTCTTTTCCCTGGAGGGCAAAGTATAGTGGAGGGAGGGTCTCTTCCTGCTTCCCCTTCCTGCACATTCTTATCTTCCTGTGCACCCTCCCCATCCTGAGAGTTGGCCTCTGACAGTTCTTGTCCCATGACTCTTCCCTCTTCTGGGAATCCCTGGACACCATCTCCTTGCAGGGCTGCGATTTCTTTTTCTTCTCCGCCTTTCTCTAGCGGTACCTCCTCTTCTTGCATTGTGTTTTCAACTACTTGGTCCAGGTTCCTGCCCAGAACCTGCCCCCCACTGTTTCTCTCTGCTTCATCTTTTCTGCTGGCACAAGCCCATGCTTGGGAATTTGAAGAGGCCGTGGAACCACTCAGCTGTTGGTTTCCTGGATCCTCTCGGTTCTCGGAGGTTCTAGAATCAGGCCTCTGGGATGGGATTTTCAAGGGCAGTGCTACCCTCTCAGGGACCAGGGCGCACTCCATGGCACAGGGTCCACTGCCCTCCCCTGAGCCTCTGGAGCCACTGCCGACATCCACACCAGAGGAGGACGTCGGTGTGAAGTCCTCCGTCATGATGTCAGACCTGAGGCCCAGCAGAGCCTGGCACCAGCCAAGCTCCCAGAGGCCCGAGTCCGGCTCACCACGCCTGAGGCCACACCCCGGCCACAGGGCCTGGAAGGTGCTCAGGAGCTCCTGGTACCGAGGAGAGTCTATGAACCTCACTTTGCCAGTGGGAGACCCAAGGTCTTCATCAAAGAAGTGGAGCCCAGCAAGACAGGTGATAAGGGCCTGGGCAGAGCGGCTGAGCCTCCTGCCCGCTGCGCTGGACACTTCGGGCAGGCTGCTGGGCCGGCCCTGCTTGGAGCCCATCAGCGCCTTCATGATCTGTATGGAGGCAGAGACGTTGTGCGGAAGCACACACGGGCCCACAGAATAGTCCATGGCCATGCCTTTGCCTGATTCAGCCTCCCTGGGGTCTTCTGAAACTCCGCTACAAGGAAGACCCTCTTCTGACTTGGGATGAACATCACCAGTCACTGGGAGGGCTCCGTCTGGCTCTGCTTTCTCGCTGGTGGCCCCTTCATGAGACGGTTGTCTGACCTGCGTTGGTTCCCCCAGACATTCTGGGGAACGCTTGTCAACAGGATCCTCCTTGGGGCCTTCTGGGTCATCCCCTGCCACACCTGTGCTCTCACTCACCATCTCACATTTCATGGGTACGGGCTCCACTGGGATGCTGCTTAGCCATTCACGGACCACAGCATCCGGTGAGGCTCGGGGCAGAGCACCCAGCGCCATTCTGCCATCTCTCTCTTGCCCCTCTAGACTTTGCCCTCCACCAGCAACCTTCTTCCCCTGGAATATTCTTCCAGACCTGGGGCCACAGCTGGAGCTGCCTCTTCTTGAGGCTTTGACTGCTTTCCCCGTGGCCCCTGACTGAGAGCCGGGGGGCCAGGGGAACCATGCCTCAAGCTTTCCCTCCCCAAGTTCTCCCCCGCCTGGCCCCCAGTCAGCACTGGGGTTGCTGTTACACGAAGGGTATTTCTTGACAAAAGGCCATGTCCTTGGGGGGGTGGGACAGTATCTGCTGCATATCAAGGGGACCTCAGAGAAGGGCCCCTGGCTTCCCAGTGGTTGGGAGGTATGCAGGGCGTGAGTCTTATCACTGGGGGTCCTGTGGAACAGGGATGTGCTGATCGGTGAGCAGTCGCAGCCTCTGTGGGCTCCCGACATCCCTCCCTCGGGCTGTCCAACTGGCAGAACTAAAGGCCAGGAAGGCTTGGGAATGCCACCCCCTGCCTTTTTGTCCAGACCATCAGCTTGGCTGCTCAAAAAGTCTGATGTGTTGGAAGGTGTGGGAGCTGATGAGCGTGCCCTGAACTCAGGGTCCCCTTCAGTCTCAGCAGAGGGACAGTATGGGGGGTAGAAATTGGAAGCACAGTCAGAATTGCTCACAGGGGTTATGAGAGCACTGTGGACCCCCTGTACATACTGGGAATGAAGACAGGCAGAGGAGGGCGGCCCTGTGTCCTGGGAGGCCCGGTTCCTGGCCCTGGGTGAGCTTGCAGAAAGGGGTGGTGCTGAGCCATTTGGGCAGGCCCTGCATCTGCTGGGAGGTCCTGGCATTTGCCTGGGCACCGGTGAGTCAGGTGGGCGGTGGGTATGCCTTTGGGTGTGGTGCTGCCTGGGGCAGCCTATCTGAGCCCCTCGGCTGAGACCAGAAATGCTGGGTGAGGACACAGCACTGGCTCTGCCCCTTTGCTTTCTCCTCCTGCCTGGGACTGAGGCGCAGGCGGAAGGTGGAGAATGGCCTGCAGTGTCTCCAGAGCCAGAATGACCTGGAGCCAGGGGCGGTCCACTCCCAGACCTACCCTTAGCCTGGGAGTGCCTGGTACCCTGTCCACTGTCCTCTGCCTGAGAGTCCTCATTCCTCAAAGACAAGGGACTCACCGTGGGCGGACTGGGGCCTTCCCCCTGAATGGCCTTTGTCCAGGAAGTAGTCATGGCCCTTGTCTTGCTCAGGCAGCCCTGGTGTTGCTCACCACTTTCACTAGACTCCTCGAGAGACCCAGCACTCCCTGAGGAGTCAGAAAGAGCACCTGCCGTGTCTCGGGTCTGGGGCTTCAGGCAGCTATGGGGCTCCCTGCTGCCCTGCCCTGCTCCCTGTGGCCCTGGGCCCTCACTAGTCCAGGATGGGCCACCAGCTTCCCACCCTGCTCCCCTCTGGGAGGCAGCCCCTGAGACTGAATGTGGATCGCAGCTGCCCACACTGCCGTCTGGAGACCTGGAGCAGCAGGAGGAGTTTGGCTCGGAGTCTTTGGGGGCTCTGTCACTAGAAGCAAGGCTGACACTGTCTTTGCTGCTTCTTTTCCTGCTGGTGAACCCTTGGCTACAGGGCCTCCTGGAATGGGAGTGTTGGGTCAGCCTGGATCTCCTCTGAGAGGCCATCCCCTCTCCCTGGGTGGAGTACAGGGGGTTCATCCAGATCTCATACCTGGTCCCTGGCTGCCACCGGCCTCGGCCAAGGGCTTCTTCACATCCTGCCTCACAGGGCCCCTGTCCCTGTGCCCCAGGCTCTGAGGAGCCCCCAGGGTGGTCCTCCCACACACAGTGGAGGGAGTCCACCTCCCTCAGGACAGGGACCTCCTCACTGGCTGCTGTGAGGGCACTGGCCCTCCCCACCCTCCTGGACCACAGGAGTGCGTCCTCACCAAGGAGATGGAAGCGGACTTTCATCTCTACAGACAGGCTGCCATCCTTGTTCATGCGGACCTTTTTCTCAACATCGTCACTGGCCACCAATGGGCCGAGCTGGGCAGGCATGTCCTGACGGTGTCTGTCAGGAGCAGGGCCCATCTGAGTGTGATGCAGGGACACTGGGGGGTCGCTGAGACCAGATCTCTCTGACAGCAAGGAAAACCGCCGTGGTCGGCTGCCTGACCTGGACCTTGAGTGGATCACACTCTGCTTGGCCTTTGGCCCCCAGCTTCCTGGCACACGATGAAAGTAAGAGAAAAGAAGAAAGACAGTGAGCTACTAGGGGGAGCTTCAGAGTCAGAGAATAAAGGCTAGTCATGAGCCTTTCATCATTTAAACACCCCCGCCGCCCCCAAAACCACAAAGTAAGGTCAGAAACCATTCTAGAATGAATATCCAGTCCGCAATCTGTGAACCAGCAAAGCCTAGTGAGATGAACTTAACGTCTGAATTCAGTCTCAACTTTGCGACTTCCTCGCTGTGTTGTTTTTGGCAGGGACTCTTTACTGAGTTGTAAAATAATAATGGTAGGTTTGTTTTGACGATGCAGGGCAATGCATATAAAACTTTCTGCAGAGTTGCTAGCACAAAGTATGTTCTCAATAGACAACAGAGTTGGCAGGCAGAGCAGCAGGGCCCAGAGCTAACTCCGGGCCCGGCTCATGCTCACCCCCAACATAGGTAACAAAATCAATAAGCTGCTGTAAAGGTGCCTGATTGTAAACTGTAAAATGCTTTGCAATTATTAGTGGTGATTTATCATCTTAACAGACATCAAGCTTCGGGGTTGATAAATGATTGCAAGGAAGGACCTGGACACACAATAGCAAGTCTTGAGAGTCAAGCCTGCACCCTAGCCATGAAAAAGATAAGAAAAGGGAGCCACTGAAGGAAGAAAGAAGTGGTCCCAAGTAGGAATGAAGCCCTTAGTACTCTCTCATTTCACCTCCTCCTGATTGGCAAGAGGAAAAGGCTAGCAGAGGCTGAGCCTATGGCCAGCAAAAGAACAGATCTCCCTACTTGAGTCCATCTAGATAGAAGGTTTTCACCAAGCTCTGCTCTTCCATAAGCACCTAATGAGACTAGGAGCTCCTCCAAAGGGGACTCTGTGGCTAATAGGTCCTTGTACCTCTAGCACCTGGCATGCAGTGATCACCAAAACCATTATTATCATTTCTTAGTAGCTTTTCACAAAGGATATTATTTTGTTTATTTACCAAATTTGCCCATTTCCATTCCAATAATTTTGCTGAAAATTTCAACCTGCAGTTGTTAATTATGCCTTTAAAATAATGTGTTTTTAAATAACAACACCTACACTCTGGCACATAGTAGGTTTTTGGAGGGATATACATACAGTTAGATGTATAGACTGATGAGTAGATGGAGGATCAATGGTTATTGTTAGTTTTAGTCCATTTGGCTTCTACTGTTATCTAAGGGAGTCATGACTCTTGAAAGATGCAAATGCCATATACCCATGGTCCATTGCCTCCATAATGTCATGCCCACCATGGTCCTTAATAAAGCTTATTTTAGATCCTAGAAATTTAGAGTTCAAGATCTCCTACTCCTCATTTTCTTTAAATACCAGACTCCCCTCTCTCACACACCAAGCAAATTTCAACCCAATTAAGGTTGATGGCAGTAAGAAAGAGGAAGAAGCAAGGGTGACCAAAAAATGTGGGATACCCAAAAACTGGGGCCAAAAGGCAGGTTTTTAAAATTATCTAGAAAGGATATCTGCTTAGTCCTACTGAACCACTATCCAGGGCAAATAAAATTGGGGAAACTCCAAAACTAACTCACCGGTTTTGTTTCTTGGAGTCTGCCCAGATAAAGTTTCCATTCCGTATCTTCTAGAATCTTCCATTGCCAGAGGTTTGAAAGACTCGTAGCCAGCACATACTAGCACTGAAGGACTGTGGAGCAGACCCTTCAGAGAGTCCACCTGAAGAAGGAGAGTGTTGAGTTAGGAGGCCCGGTTTGCAGAGCCCCTCTTCTACCCAGGGAGACAAAGGTAGAGGAAGAATCCCATCACTCTGGCCCTTTCCTGAAGTTTGCACATCTCACCCCAGAATTCTGTCCTATCCACTTGCCATAATACCTCCATAACTAGCTGGGGGCTGAGGTCCTATGACCTATCCCCACAAATGACACCTTCCTCTCTACCTATACCCCTCCCCCCACCCGGCTTAAGGCCTGTGGTTTAGGGGTTCTTCTGGATGCCTCAGGTGGAAAACACTTCAAGAAGTCTTTGGCCTGCTTCGCTGCTCACCCTTGCACCCTCCAGAATATGTATTTTTTTTTTTAAAGCAACCAGAACAGAAAGGCCTCCAGCTTCCCTATGGAGATCTGATTCACTATCTCACTCATTTCCCACAAAGAGTTCTCTCCTGGGTCCAATCTGTGTTTTCCAGTATAATCTCGAGCCCATCACCTCTGCTTTCAGCCCTTCTGGAACAGAGAAGGGCAAGGCTGCTCTCTCTACAGGCTCCTCCAGTGATTCCCTAGGCTCCTGCCCAGAGGCTTATGCCATCCTTTCCCACCCACCCTAGGACATCCTGGGCTGGATGCTGAGCAGGCAACATTGCATTCCAGGAAACAGGTCCCTGCTTTTAGAAAAATCTCACATGGCCCTGAGGCCCCTACAGCACATGTGAGACTTTGCACTATTTATGACATTATATAGTAACTGGCAGTGTTGGGGGATTTAGTTTCATCTTCAAAGGGCTGAATCTGTTCTTCTTTATTTCTCAGATTAGAAGGGTATGTTCATTAGCAAGGAAATGAGAAAAAGAGAACTCTTGCATCCTCTCCCCACAAATGACATTAAATTAGCTGTACACCAGATCTTTCAACCTAGTTGATTAGAAGTTTTTTTCAAACTACTAAGCACACTTCTTTGTTGATTTAGAGCTCTAGCGCATCACAAAAATGCAAACATGACCCAAGTCTATCAATTTATGGAGACATATCAATGTATTCATATCCCTTAGACAGCAGTAGAAGCCAAATGGACTACATGACCCAAGTCTATCAATTTATAGTAGTCATATTTCTAGGAAATCAGACTTTTCCAAGGAGGAAAAAAGAGAACTCAGGGTTAAATGATGCTCCCATTCTAGAAAGAGGTCAAGGTTTAGGATCCACACACAAAAAAAGAGTTATTGAGAGTATATTGAGAGTGTTCACCCAGTTGAGGACCTGACAACTGATAATCGTGCCACAGCATGCCCTGGGGAGCAATGAGACCATTTTATTTACAGAAACTAATAGTTCTGCATTAAGTCTATAAGAAAATACACTAATATTTTTTTCTCCAATTAACTTATTTTTGTACCTGCTCTCTCCATTTCGCCGTACCCACTAAACTGTAGCTAATTGAAGGTAGGGACCTAGCCTTATTTTCTGTATCCTCTGCATTAAGCACATGCTGGTACATAGCAAATGTGCCATAATTTAGGAGTTTTTTTACATTATGACTCTGACATTATTAATGTTGATTCTATCATTTGCCAGCCATGCAGCTATGAGCCAATTACTTAACCTCTGTGCCTCAATTTTCTTACCTATACAAAGGAAATAATAACATGAATTGCCTTGTGAGTTTGTGTCGTAAATGTCATGTCCTAGATTAGTCAACCTCTGTTTTACTTTCTTTCTGGTGTAATTTCCAGTATGGCAGAGTGTACAAAGCTCTATATACATTTTCTGGACTCCCTTGCAGCTAAACTTCTAACCATGAAATCATTTCTAATAATTAGATGCACTTGCACAAGGTAGGAGAAATGACAGTGAAGTAAAACCCATCTTTCTTTTGTTTTTGACTGTTGCCACAAGAAAAAAGTCAAAGGCATAAAGAGGCATGTGCAGCTGAAATGGCAAAAGCCACAGTCATTTTTCCAGTACCCAGTCACCAGCTTTCTGGATATCAACAGACAGCAGTGGCACATGACCTGCATGATTCCAGACCACAGCAATGGTGGGCTAATACTGAACTCAGTTATTCCAGGGACATCACCCCAACAACCCACTTGATTGTGTTAGAGGTATCTATCCAGATAGGTCAATTCTGTGATATTCTGGGAATTATTTCCAGAAACCAAGCTTATGCTCCTCCAGCTTTCCAATCTTTAAGCACAAAACTCTGTGTGTATAATTTCTTCATGCTTAAGATACGTACAGAGGTTTCTGTTTCCTATACTGATATACTGACTGATTCAATGTACAGTATCAGAGGTTGTTGCAGGCAATAGACCCTCAAGGAGAGGAGTCTTGGATTAGTTATCTGACCTGATTGGGTTTGAAAGCAGTGATAATCTGGTTACAATGCGACACTGGTGGCCTAAGGCACAAAGTGATAAAACAGGTTCTTGAATGATCACCTCTGATAGTAGAATGCAGTGCTTAACTGAGAACAGGACTTTGGGGGAAAATCACTGGCTGTCATGACAGACCCTTCTAATGAGAATGAGAGCTGCAAGGACTATGGAGTAGGCCGGCTTCTCTGACTTAAAGAAAATGGCAAGCTCGAGGTCTAAACTCTCAGTTTAGGGATGGCCAGAGGACCTAGGTGCTTCTACTACTACTATAAAAGAATCTCTTTTCTCTTATAGCCAAACATCAGATGCAGAAACTGATTCTTCTTGTTGTTGAAATAAAACTGAAGTGATTGTTGTGTCATCTGTCAAGCTGTAAAGCAAGTGTGTCAAAGCAGGACCCCATCATCAGGAGGTGGTGACATGTACTAGATCAGGTTCCAGGCATTTGAACGGAAGGCATAAGTAAATTGCATGAGCCACACTCCCAGTTCACCTGCTTCTGCAGCATTGCCATCTTTCCTTCCCACACACCTAAAACTTCCTGGGGGAGTTCCCTATGACCAGTTAACTGAAGAAGAAAATATCTGATTCTGGGTTTCAGATGGTTTCACAGGATATGCTGACACAAGTCAAAAGTTGACTGCTGCACCATTACAGACCCACTTGGGGGCCATAAAGGGCAGTGGGGAAGGAAAGTACAGGGGACAAGTTATCTGATTGGCTAGTTTTCACAGAAGGTGCAATGGCAGGAGGTTCTATGGCAATTCATAGGCAGGAGTTAGCAGTTCAATTTGACAATCAAGGCCTTGGAAGGAACAAGACTGGAGGGCTGGTGACAAGGAACTCTAGAGAAGAATCTGTAAATGGGTCTCCCAGAATGTGCCTAGAGAATGAGAACATTTGTGTCCCACTGAATGCTTGTCAGAAGGTGATAATCATGTGGACAAATGACCTGTTCAATGGATGTTAGTCATTCTTTTCCTCCAACCACCCCAAGGTGTGCTCAACTTGATTATGAACAGAGTGACAAAGTAAACATGAACTAGGAATGTAAACTACCTTATTCATGTGGATCTGACTGCCATGTCTGCTAAGGGTCCAATCTTCCAAGAGCAGAGATCCATGCTAAACTTGTGCCAAAACACTTGTGATTTGCAGCATATCTTGAGGTACTCAGCAAGCCATCTCATGGGAAGCTAATGACATTGAACCCCTCCATCATGGGGAGAGTCAGAAATGTGGATTCACTGGAATAGGCACTAATTTTGAATATATGCCCACATCCTTCCATGCACTTGCTGAATACCTCATTCATCGTTGCCATAATCCATGAGAATTACTTCTATCCAAAGAACTGATTTTATAGCAAAAGAAGTGAGACAATGCACTAACACCCATGGAATTCACTGTGTAGCCGTATACCACATCACCCAAAAGTAGCTATAACTTATAGAACGGTGGCTCATTCTATGGGCACCAACTGAAAGTAATCACTTTATAGTGTTGAGGCATTATCTTGCAGGATGTGATATGTGCTCTGGTCTGGCAACCACCATACAATATAGTGCTGTTTCTCCACAGACAACAGATACCTGGGAATTAAAGGGTGGGAATATGAGCATCTCCTTTCACTATTACACCTACGACCTAGCTACAAACATTTTGCTTCCCATCCCAAAAACTTCAGGCTCTGCTAATTTGGAGGTCTCTGGGTCCAAGGGAAAATGTTCCCACCAGGAGACTGAACAGTGAGTCAGTGAAGTTGAAAGTTGAGACATCACTTGGCCATATGGGAATCCTTGCAACAATGAACCAACAGGCAACAAGGGGGGTTCTGTGTTGAATGGGGTGATTGATTCTGTAATGGGTCTCTCAGAATGAGAGTTTGGATCCTATTCAAACTTGGTTAGGGGGAATAGGGTTGCTGTTATGCAAATAAGGTCGGGGGAAAGTCACCTATAGCCCAGGGAATCCCTTGAGTGCTTTCTGTGGCTGCCATATTCAGGTTAAAAATTAAAACAAGATTACAACAGCTCAGGAAGTACCTCCAAGGGCTGAGTCCACAGGAATGATGTAGCACGTGCAGCACGTAGTAAATGTACCATAATTTAGATGGTGGAATTGGTCCAGCCACTCTACCATATCCATAACCCACATTTAGCTGAGGTACTGGCAGAGGGCAGAGGGAACATGAAATGGACAGTAGAAGGAAACTTAATACCATCAATGGCCTTGCAGTAGATAACCTAGTTTTCTTCACAACTCTGCTAGGCATGAATCAATTTTCTATGTTTTGCCCTTGCCTCCCTCTAGCACTTTTTATAAGGTATTTTGGTGACTTGATAGTTAAGTCTTAAGACAGAGGCTACAAATGTGGGCTTGTGCCCAGAGGATGGATGGTACAGTGCTGATGTGACTCTGAGGGGAAGGTGAATATGTTTTGATTGTAGGAAAGACAGCTACATACTAAGGTGGGGACATGCTGCTGTAGCTGCTGCTTGTAAATTTAAGTACTGGTAGAATAGCGTACACAGGTGTTAAGTAGTGATAGGATTAGATTATGGGGAAACTGTTGATTAGATCAAGCCACCTCCATCTTCCATCCTGTGCACCTACAGTGTACATTCACGTTCTGAAGGAGCTGGAAAGGCAAAAATTATTCATTAGCCTTCTTCACAGTTCAGGCGATATGCAGATTGGGTTCTCCATCAATTAGATGCACTTGATCAAGTCTGGGAAAGCAAGTGAGGCAGACACCATCTCTTCCTGCTTCTGGTTGTTGTTGCTGCGAAGCAAATGTGTGGGTACCAGGAGGCCATAGCAGCCCAGGCAGCAGGCTAGACCCGGCACCCCAGTGCTCCTGCATGTCAAGAGGGTCAAGATGCAACTCTGGCAGTTTCCTGATCCCAGCTTTATAAGCTTGGATGCCACTATAGAGAAGTATTCTTGAACTCAGTAATCACGGTAGCTTCAAGCAGGGTATAGCTTCCTGCAGAATGCTGGGAGCTATTCCTGTAGACCCAGCTTAGAACTCATGCCTCCAGCTGTCCAAAGATTTGGGAGTCCCCTAATGTCCTGCATTAGATTTCTCTCTGCTCAAGGTACTTTGAGGAGTTTTTGTTTTCTGCACTGAACTCTCCCTGAAATAGATGGTATTGGATAATAGAAGGATTGGATAAGAAAATAATAAAAGTGTGCAAGGCACAGTGTCTGGCACTCACTAAGCACTCAATAAACGGTAACCAAAATACGAATAATAATTGCTTATTTAACTGACACCATGTCTCCATTCCTTTAATTCACCTTTAATTAGTAGCAGGGCAATCAGTGCCTCTTTGTAAAGAATAACCTCCCCATTCCATCTAAGTATTTTGATCTGAGGTCCAGAGAGCTTTTTAAAGAAATGGCATACCCCAACAGCCTACCTTTTTCCCACTTGTCGTGTATACCTGCTTCACAGGAAAGTGCAAAAGATCTGAGGCTTTGCTGAGAAAGGCCGCCAGGTTCCTTGTATTTCTATGGCTGAGAACCACTGTCTGCTGGAATCTAGGGTCTCCATTCTTAACCAGCATTATCCTCCTTGGGGCCTTAGGACCCTTGCAGGAAGAGGATGTTCCTGGTGCCTCACACTGGCTTTCAAAATCCCTTGACTGCTGAGCAGATGGGCTTCTCCCTTGTGGCCAGCCTGGCCTACTGGGTGTTTTGGGGGGCTTCTTATCAGAGCAGAGGTAGCAGCCACCATCTTCCAGCTGTTCCAGGGTACTGAGACCATGAAGGCCCCGGGGCGTGGTGACAGAGCGCACCCCAAAGGAGAGAGGCACACGCTGAGAGAGCTCGTCCATCAGAGCACCAAAGCTCTTGAACACGCGCTGGTCAACAGCCAAGCGAACCCCAGCAAACCGGGGATCCCCTCGCTTGAGGAAGGTTATCTTCTTGGCTGGCGTGACCTGGGTGACAGAGGGGGTCCGGACCACGGAAGGCAGGAGGCACTCACGGTGGCTCGGGGCCTGGGCATCCCTCAAGGTGCTGTTCATGGTGGAGAGGCCCAGGCAGCTGGAATGGATCAGAGGAAGAGGAGAGTCAGAGACAACCCAGGGGAGTTTGCATTTCCTCTCTCCCCTTTGTTACAGAGGTGCTTCCAGATCATCCCAAATTTGTACCACTCAGGTATGTCGAAGCTGGTTAATCCATTTTGATGGAATAGAAGGAAAGCCAAAGGTCTGGCACCCCAGACAGATATGAATTCAAATCCTGACTCCCCACTTACTACCTGTGTGACCCAGGAGGTTAATGACATAATCTGTGTCTTGGTGGATCCCACCTGTAACATGCAGCCATATTCATTCTGCATAGTGCCAGGTCTCATGTGTAACCCAGGGGAATTCCCAGCTCTCTGGATTCATGTCTTCTGGTGCCAGGTGAGCAGAATCCCTTGGGACAGGAGTATAGACAAGGAGACTTGTAACCCACCATGTCTTCTCTTTATTATCTGGTAATGTTTGCTTTAACGTAAAAAGAATGCCCCCCTCCTCCCATCCCTCCGAAGTCTTTGGAAGATGCATGATGAACCCTATGGGAGAGTACCCCAGCCCACTGCCATCGACATGGGAGACTGGGGGCTTAGGCCAGCCTTGATAGGGTCGAGCTCTTTCGTCCACCTGTTCATTTCTATTCCCACCTCAGGAAAGCCCCATTGTCTTGCCTGGGACTTTGGAAAAGCCTCCCACAGACTCTCCTTGTCATTGCCATGCTCTGTTCTGTGCACCTGCTGGCCAAGTTGTCCTGAAACCCAGTTTTTACCTGGCATTTCCTATGCTCCAAACCCTTCAAATGGTTCCCCAGTGTCTGCAGAAGAAGCTCAGGCTTGTTACCCCACAATTCAAGGGTCCCTCATCCTTCCTTCTGACTTCCCCCTTAAAGCCTCAGCTCTTGCTTCTTTCTCACAGGAGTTCTCCACTCCCACCCAGCCTTCTGGTTCCGAGGCTCTCCCTGCATGGCAACCCCCATCCTTCTGCAACCTGCCTTGGATTCCCTCCCCTGTGGAGCCTGCCCCAACCCCCTAGTCTGGGGCAACCCCCATTTTCAGTACAACTCCCCTGACATTTCCTATATCCCAGGCCTGTATCTTTCTTGGCCAAGTACCCCAAGCCTGTGAGGCAAACCTGTACTCCCCGGGGCTCTGAGCCCCATGTTTGGCATAGATCAAGGATCCAGGAAATACACACTTATTACTAATGCCCATATTTCACAGATCCTCGTAACAGTGCTTAATCCTGTCAGTAAGCTGACATTTGATGAATTATGATTAGGTAAGGAGTCATCCCCACTTTCACATGGCTCAGACCACAGCAGGACCCTCATAAATGTGCACACTGCAAGTAAACGTGGTCTTTCCTGCTGTAGCCACGAATCCCACTTATGGCTCAGTGGTGCCCGAATCTCCTTTCCTTACCTTTGCTCTCTATCTAGCCACATTCATCTCAGAACTCTTCTTTCATTTTCAAAATGGTGGTGCACAAAGAGGTCTTACAATCCTCTCTCATCTCTGGTACAAACTTTATAATTAGCTTCTTCAAATTCCTCCCTCCCAACTAATCCCTTTAAGCTGCTTTCTTAGATCTCCCACTAACATCCCTGCAGCGGCCAGATGCTGTTACCCAGGCATGTCCTCCTGCAGGGCTAACTTTTCTTCCCACTTGATTTCCATTTTCACTTATGATAAGGGCACATCCTTCTTGGCCCTTACTGAGGGACTGAGAAGGGAAAGAAGGGTGACTATGTCCTCCAGTGTCACCATGTCCCCAATGTCAGTGTTCTCTATTGTCACTGTGTCCTCTAATGTCACCGTGTCCCCCAGTGTCGCTGTGTCTCCCAGCATTGCCATGTCCCCTATGCATTCTGCTACCTCCAAGGGCTTTCTGGGCAGAGAGAGCCTCTCTAGAGACCTCCAGGACAGCAACTCTGCAGTGAGAAGGGAAGCTTTCATGGGGAAAGCAGAAACCTGGCCTAAATCAAAGGCAAAGACCATTCTGTAGCTCCCCGAGGACCCAGGCAAAAGTGTAATATTGGAACATACACTCAAGAGACTGCCCCTTTCTTCTGGCATTCTTCTAGAAAATAACGTCTTTTTGAATTAGAATTCTCAACCTCCAATTGGGTTTTTGAACTAAAAAGAGAATAAAAAGAGAAATGGATCCAAAGTACCAAAGATGAGGCTAGTATCAGCCACAATTCACCATAAAGACTCCTTCCCAACATGAGACCAAGCACATGGCCCAGAGAGAAGTTGAGGGAAATTATTGATCATCACCTGCTGAATGCACTTAGGTGCACTCAAATAACTGACGAGATTCTGCATATAACTAGGTGGCTTGCACATATGCATAAATACACACACAGACACATGTGCACATGCAGGGGTGCACACACATGCACACACGTGCGCGTGCATGCATACACACACACGTTAGAAAAAAAATTAGGACCCAGGAGGACAAGCTGAAGGACCCAGGGTGGCCTAGATTTGTGCACTGTGAAACGTGAGGACGCATATGACTCACACTGCTCCTCTCGGGAAGGTGAGGCAACTGCTTGCTCTCCAGCCTCACTGATTGAAACAAACAGGTTCAGCTTCATCTCTTGGCAAGTGGCTGAGAAGTATGACCTTCTCTTGCAGCTACGGGCAAGGGAGAAGCAAATTGATTTTCTTTTTCAAAAAGGCTTAATAAACTTTTGATTCATTCACCTTCAAAACAACCTGGCCAGACCAGGTTATTCATTCATTCAGTCACCCAGTCATTCACTCATTTGTGTACCCAATCAAGATTTCGGAGCATCTATTGTATTCCAGGCTCTGTGCTGGGTCCTGGAAATATGAAGATTACTGAGACATTTCACGCACCTTCAAAAAGGTCACATTTTAGTGTGACAAGCGAGTACATTATTAAAATTCTGCATAAGAAATGTTCTGAGATATATAACTATAGATATATTATACACAGGGTGAGAATGAAAGCAGATTAAGAGGAACAGCAAATCAGGGAACACATCCTGGCAGAGGTGACAAGGAGCCTCCTGAGCTGAGACCTACAGGACAATTTAAGGGTTAGCCAAAGAAGGAAGAAGTTAGGACCAGCATGCAAAATAGATATGCCTTTGGTGCCAGCTCTGACCCACTGGGGTGGGCAGTTGGAAGAATGGGAGGAAAGGTGCCCAGGCTTCCTGTGTTATATGATCTGCTAGCAATGTTGCTGTAGCATCAGGGCAAAGAAGGGCCATAGGGTAACAGACATTTTTCATTGGTGCTCTGCTCACAGCATTTGGGGTGGGGGAGTACGTGCAAAGCTGCAGTGGAGGGAGAAAGCTTGGACATTCAGCAAGAGCCTTCGAGGATGTCATCCTAATATCTTAGAAAAGACCCACCCCTCTGGCAGCAGTAGGGAGGACAGGGCATGGGAGGGCAGGAAAGTAATTGGTGAATGAGGGCAATTACTGTGCGAAGCAAAGGGACTGAGCCCATAGAGGCTGAGAAGGCACCAGCAGGACTGGTGACCAACAGATGGGCTATAGGGAGCCCTGCATGGCTCTGGGGGTTTCAGGCTCAGGGACCTGGATGGGAGGTGGTGCTGTCTACTCACTGGGCAGGGGAGCAGAGGGAGGAGCAGTTTGGAGGAAGGGGTGAGGGAGTGGTGGGAAGGGCTATCCTCCCTGCGGGAGCAGATGCACTGCATGTGAGTTCATCTGACACGGCTTTATTAAGGGGGCTGGGGAATACCCCCATGAGGATAAAGCAGCCCAGACACAGCTCTGGCTACAGGAACCTCAACAACAGAACCAAAAGCCCTTCTCCACTGAAGTCTGAGGGGCCAATGTTGGCAAAAGCAAACTCGGGGTTCCTACATTAGATCCAAGAACAGGTAAGTGCAGTAAAGGAGGACAGTGACAGAGTCTGGTAAAATAGTGGGGAAACAAGAAGCAGATGTCATTGCAGGCCAAGGTGACCAACCGTTCCAACTTGCTTGGGACTGCCCTAATTTTAACACTGAAACACCCCCTCAAATGCGGGGACCCAAACTTCTGCTGCCACCCCTGACCCCAGCTAACCAGACAGGTAGTCCCCTTCAGTGTGGGGCCCATGTGGTTTCCCAGGATCGGGTGGCCTTACTCCAGTGGAAGCCGAGATAAGCCAGCACTGCCACGGGTTGCCTTGTGGAGCTGGTTGAGCCCCTAGACTCAGCAAGGCCTAAAACTACTACCCAAACTGGAAAACCAGACTCTTCAGTGATGTGAGCCAACAATTCTCTCCTTAGTTTAATAGATTTGGGTTGAGGTTTCTATTATTTGAAATAGAAAGGGACTTGGACCCACCCAGGAGAAGGACCAATGAGTGTTCTGCTTTTCCTGGATTCCAAAGCTGGGTTTCTGAGTTAGGAAGGCCCCTTGGGTGGGGAGGGCGGCCCTCAAGCCCTTGCCAGATTCTCCCACTCTGCTCCCAGGGTGGGACAGCTGCCCCATTCCCACATGCCAGTGAGGGTGGGAGGGGAGAGAATGTAAAACAGACCCTCAGATGTGGCACAAAGGATTAATAATCAGCATATACATACAGTTGCATATGTCAGTTTTTCCCTCACTGCTCTCCTCCCTGTAAAATCAGGAGGTTTCTCTCCCTAAGCAGGAACAGTAGAAGAATTGACTTCTTTAACAGACAATCAAGGTAGGACTCCAGGCCCAGCCCAGAGAGAGGGTAGCCCAGGTCCATTTAGTGTCTCCTTACCACATGAACCTCCCTCATGGTAGAGAGAAGACATTCTTTCTTCCATAAATGGGGTTAAATACTTTCATAAAAAAGGATATAAAGGAAAGGAGGTGCCTGACCCTTCTGATTGCAAGGAATAGTTGGGGGAAAAGGGCAAAGAGAAGAAGGCTGCAGAGCTGGAGGACAGCAAATAAGGTCTACTTTCCAGCTCTCCACATTCAAGTTCCAGCTTCGGGTCAAGTGGGGGAATAATGGTGGTTGTGGGGTGGTTGTGAGAGA